TTGCTATACGAAGTTATTACGTGAGAGAGAGAGAGAGAGAGAGAGAGATTAATAAAAAAAATCTATCTTCTATACCAATCTAATATTTGCCTTATACTATTCTCGTTTACACATGTATATATTTACTGTATGTACCTAGATTGCTGCATAATCGAATGCTTTGCATTCGTGGGCACGACGGAAGATGACGAATAAGTTTTAGAAAGATTTTTTGTGATGTATTGAGCTCCAACTTTCGAATCAATATGTTTTCTGCGCAGACTAGCCATTTGACGACGGGAATCAGCAGAACTGGATACCGTTTCAGATACCTGACCTCGTTTAACATATTGCTTTCTGGAATGTCTTTCGCTAAATTCAACTAAAATCAAATTATTAACGTTAACAAGGAAAATATATTGAGATACGAGTTATGAATATTTTAGTTAAAATTCACACGATATCAAAAGCGCGATTACTAATCGTATATCGAATATAATTTCTGTTTACGACAACAATGGAAAAAAATCCATGAAAGTGCAATAGTTGATGATATAACTTTTACAGCTGTAAAAGATACATCAAAATTTAAAAAAATACAAAAATATAAAAGGATGCCAAAATATCGCGATGATACACTTTAGATTCTTTTGAATAATTCAACAACGCAATTTCTTTCTTGTTGCTGCAATTTAATATTAATAAACTTTTTACCTTCACTTGAATGATCAACAGGCGCTGCTTCTACATGACGTGATCTATTTAAATAAGATTTACGTTTGTAACTCTTGTCTCTTTCCTTGACAGAATTCATGGTGACATCAATAGATGTGGAATTTTTCTATATATAAATTAAACATCATGTGTTAAAATTTCCTAGGAATTAATGAACAAGATATATTATTATACATATACAAATAGGTAAATACGTAATCTAATGGAAATTCTTAAAGAGCAAGTTAATTTGTTTTAACTAAGTGATTAATTTGAGTTTAAAATCTTTTCGCTGTGTAATAAATCATATCGACTGTATAACAAACTATATCGACTTGTAGGATATATTCTCCAAGTAAAAAATTATTATAATTTCCGAAAAATACTATTGTAAAAATCTTGTAGGAAATTGCGATTCATTGAATCATGAGTCGTCAAACAAAGTTTAGTAATTTCTTAAACAATTTGTGAAAATGTATTGATTTATCAGAAACTGGTAAATTACCAGTTCACTTATAAGAGGCACAGGGAAGGGGAGGGAGGGAGGGAGGGAGGGAGGGAGGGAGGGAGGGAGGGAGGGAGGGAGGGAGAGAGAGAGAGAGAGAGAGAAAGAGAGAGAGAGTGCACATTTAAACTTTACACAAATAAAAATAAAATTCTCTTAGACAAGGGAGAGAAAAAATAGAAATCAAATAATTACAAATATACTTACTTGCTTAGATAATGAATTATGCCGCTGAGAGTCAGAAGTTTCTGATCCAAGTAATTTTTTAGACGATAATGTTACATCTGCTTGTATAAAGAGACAATTTATTAATGTGCTTTTGCAAATTAATCCAGTATATATACACATAATAATATGTTAGTGATTCAATAAAAATATATATCAATCAAAGAATTTTAATCCTCACTGTGACATATTTGCTCAGTTATAAAAGAAAACTATATTTTCTTATTTATATATGTATGTATGACAAGAAATGTTATATATTTAAAATCATATGGAAAGAGATAAACATTTACTTACCATTGGGTAATACTATAGAAGCAGCCCGTAATCTAGACGTTCTGGTCTCACGAATCTGAGCAGTTTTACAAGTTGTAAGATTCTTAGAGCTCTCCTTTAGCTCTTTAGACATTACTTTATCATTGTTTTCTGTTGTAAGGCTACGTTGCTTCTTTTCTACTGTAATAAAAATAAATTATGTTTTATTCAGAGACTATATAAAGCATATAAAATACAAAAATAGGTTAGGTATATACATTTAAAACAAATAGTATTTATCAAAGAGATTTACATGTTTCATAATATTGTCGTATCACTATCGTTTTTTTATTTGATCAGGATATTACTCAAAAATGTATAAATAAATGATACAAGTTATTACAACATCTATTAGAGTAAACCTTTTTTAATAAAGTGCTCGACATGATAGCTTTTAAAGCAAGGATGCGAGTGCGATATGCTATCCAAATTTGTAGTACTTACTAATATTCAAAGAGCAAGTAGCTCCATCTCCTTTAATCGACGATTCAACGTTTCTTTGACCACAACGCTGTAGCTCGTAACGCGAACAAGTACTCTGGTTTGTCGAGCGTGCTGTACCATTTCCTTCCTCATTTGACGAATTCTCCTCGCTAGCTGCCATCAAGACTGTAGGTCCGGCAGCTACCATTACTGCAAATGTGTGTTACATATGTTTATTAATTTCTCTACAAACTAATAGCTATATTCTTTTCAACTCAAGATCTGATACATTTAAACAAACAAAAAAATATTACAATTTCTTTGTGATTTATATATCAGTTTTAAAACACACTACACACAGTATGTACGTTACAATAAAACATATGCAATTGTGAATAGAGCAATAAAAATATATCATTACTTGTATCATATCAGATACAATTTTGTTTCTTTTTACAGTGTTAAAATAGGTATTATGGCTATCAATTAGTATATATACTCACTTTTTGTATACTCACTTAATACGAATTAATACGAATTGTCCTGCGACGCGGCCATAATTTCACTTTCGAAAGCTTTCGAAAGAAATTGTCTGACAATCGAGAGCATAGCGAATGATGCGTATTCCTTATGTCTATGTTATCACAGCTACTTAATAAGTACTATGTATAAAATGATACAAATCGCGAGGGGTAATCAATCTGTACAAGTAAACTCGCGCGCGAGAGGAAAGACGACTACATCATTTACATCGAGAATAGAAATTGACTGAATTAAATAAAAAAGAAAACATATCGCCACGAAACGAGTGTCATTCTAGTGAACTGATTGTGTCAATGGGCGCGTTCAGAGCGGAGAAAGCTGTCGGAGATGTCGGAGTCGTCGACTTGTGATATTCACCTCTGATTTGTCGGATCCAGAGGAAAATACGATCGTACACGTTCGCTATTTGCAACTGTGGAAGTTATCTTTCCTGATTGTGAGACAGGACTATTTCTATAAATTTGATAATATAATCCAATCAGGACAAAATGCTTATTAAGGCTGCACTTAACGCTTGCAAATTCTCGCGAGCAGTGTTTATCTTTGTTTAATATTTGATAAACAATAAAAATGAAACTGTCGTTAGAGTTAACAGAATCGCGGGGTACAGGTATCATTTTTTTCTTCTTGTTCACCGAATATTAAACATTATTAAACAAAGCTAAAATGATAATTCAATAATTGAGAAGTATGTACTTGGATGAAAATCGTACATAACCTTAAGCCGCCTAAGGGAGAATCACATTGGAGCGGCAAAGCAGACCCAAGTAGGTAGTATCTCTGATAGACCCAGATATCCTTGTTTAATATTCGGTGAACAACAAGGAAAAAATGATACTTGAGAAGGATTTACTCGGGTAAAAATCCGAACCAGAGAGAATTAAGCATGAGAGTGGCCAACTGCTCCGCACTACCCTAGCGCCGCACGTCCATTTTGTTGTAACACTGCAGTCGATAAAATCGCATAGCATCGAAAGATCGAAAGATTCGAAAGTGGACGTGGTGGTGCGGTCCGTGCTGATCTTGCTACATACATCCACAATAACTTGTGGATGCAGTGCAAACTCATGGAATCGGAATGTCATTTTTAATGTCGGCAATGTCACAATTAAATAGTTGTGTTTTCTTTTTATCAATTTGTGGATGTAGCACGGACACGCACCACATCCACTTTTGATGCTACGATTTTATCGACAGTGTCACAAAATGGACGTGCGGCGCTGGTGTACGGAAGAGTTCGCTGCCGTTCGCCGATCCCCTCTCGCCGACCCTATGAAAAGCAAAAGGCCACAGAACATATGACCGCTCTCTCTCTGTCTCACGCTCCTGCTCGCTTCTGCTTCTCTCCTCTTGTCTCGACGACGAACATACTCCATAGTGTGATCAAAGAGATATGAAAATGCCTCGAATCGTCATTGGCTGATTGGCGCCGATACTGGCCGATGCGCGTCGCGCGATGGCCGCGCAATGACGCAGTTGACTGTGCAGTGTGTGTGCGGTTGACGCAGGTCGTCGCCGTCGGCCGGTCGTGTTGGTCGACGCGGGCTGCGCGGGCAGCGGGCAGCAGTGGGTAGCGCGGCAGTTTGACTGTATTCGTAGTCATAGCGACCGCGAGGTATGGCTGATGGTCGCTCGATTAATAAAGTTGGCTGCGAATGACAGCTACGCAAGAAGTCGAAATAATCAAATACGTGGAAGGTGGTGGAAGGCCAGCTTAGAAGCCAAGTCCAGAAGCCTGTCTTCGTTTTTCTATTCTGTGAGCATAAGTCTATTGTAATTAATGATAGAGCGATGAGACTAAAATAACAAGTCGATTCGTCAATTTTCTAGTATATCGTCTCAGTGATTGTGCGAGCCTGTCGCGTTATATAGTCCGACTCTCTAATCTATTTGGCGAATGATAACCAACGTTTTGTTCGCATTGAAGTGTCATAAATCGGAACTATTTTCCTTTGGGTCATTTTGCGATTTCAATAGCATGACACTACTTATAATTTTTTCGTTATATTTGCCGTGAGAGAAAATTTCCTCGATCATGAAAAGGAAACGATTACGAGAAATTTAATTGAAAATTGCGAGTCAAGAATACAAAAATTATAATTACTTTCGACATTTTTGGTTCTTTTTTTTTTTTTTTTTTTCAAAAACGATATTCAAAATTTCTTAAAGACTTGAAACAGTGCAAAATTAATTAAATTATTTTATTCAAGTATCATAATTAAATTTTGAATCTGTCGATAAATCGCGAAGCTATATCATTCCATCGCTTTTAATCTTTATGTAAAATAATTAAAATTAAGAATTTTATAATTGCTTATTACATATATCGATTTATTGTATTTATGAATAATAATATAATTTTATTGAAATTCCATTTTATTGCATATATTATTGCATATACACATATTATAGTTAGTACATATATGTGTATCAGAGCATTTCGTGACTTTATGAGCTTATATAGCTGCTTATTCTAATTCTAAAGTCCAATTTTTTCAAGAAACGTTTTGAGTAAATTGTTGTTTATGTTTATCTCACTTCTCTAGCTTTTTCTAACATCTTTTTAACTAATTTAATATATAAGCCTTAAATCTTAAGGTTCTATTATATATATATATATATATTATAATCTATCTATAGAATCAATAAAATATATATGGTTTAACTTTTTTTTATTTGTCTTCTTGTGACACTCGATCGTCTTATATATATATAAAAAGTTTGTTCTTGTCAAATTTGTCACGATATTGAATCTAATATCGTGTAATATCGATTTATGGAGCATTTTGCGTAGCATTGAAATTCGGATTAATTGAAATTACATCCTTCTCTACTCAAGACAAATAATACAAGATATTTGGTGCTTTTATGTCAGTTGGTTGGCGATCAGGTTGAATAATGCCATTCGAGAAAATCTATATTCTTGCATGTCTGGCCCGCACGAAGATTGTTTGCATGCGACCGTAAGAAAATGCTAATCTCGGCACGACATATATACGCGGTTAGTGCTGTCCTAGATTGCGCTTACAAGTCTTTTGCTCCATATGTGCTGTTATAAGTAGGATCGGACTATCGCGTAGGAAATGCAATAGTGTAAAACATTTGGGTTTGTCGATTGCGATTTACTAGACAAGTTCAATGCACATGTAGAAGCACCAGTCTAAAATAATTCGCCGATCGTATCATTCGGTCTTAAATGGATCCAATTCCAATGATCCTTAAAATAGCAACTATACGCGATATTTGACATGATATCAAATCAGGGATGAGAGAAATATTATAGAAATTGCTCTACTATCTTGTCAACAGCGCTTGTTCCTAAGTTTTATGGCAGAGAATATCTACTATCAAATATTCATTCTGCTGTAGAGTCAATACTTGGGATAAATAACTCGTGCCAAGTATTCATTTATACAACAGTAACATATTATAGTAACAAGACTAAGTTTAAGACTAAAGACATTCTTATTTAGCTTTATATAAGCACAGTTCCCATCTTCTAAGCAGTATTATGCCGGATATATGTATTATAGTGTTCTACCGGAAACATACAATATTTCAGCAATTCCTAAAAAAGATCGTCAACTTTGACCATATGCTATACCAAAAATTCTATTTTGCTAAGAGACGTTGTTTTAAAAAAATTTCATCGAAATTTAAAGCGCTTGCCGGACAGCCGGAGATTCGTTGGAAAAGTCAGAGTCTTTGCGGGCAAAAACCGCGATCCAGAGGTGGCAGCCGTGATTATTTAAGTTACATGCACGGATACTCGCATCTTTGCATAAAATTCGAAACTTATCTAACATAAAGTGTTCTAGCAAAAAATTACATCAAACATGTGAATGGAATTTTTTACCTACTCCTATTCGCGCAGATTTATAATTTAAATTTATATAGAAAAGTATTTTTTTAATTATAATTAAAAAATAATTATAATAATTAAAGAACCAAGTTTATGATTACGAGTGAAAACTCTGTCTATATATAATTCTTTAACGCGTTTTGTAAATTTTTTGTAGACCACATTTCATAAAAATAAAGCAAAAAAATATGTTTATATTATTCATAAAATTTGCTCTCTCGCTACTCCAAAAATTATATCAAATAAATTACAAATAATCTCGGTAATTATTATCAATATAGCCTAGTTAGATCACCCTTAAATTTAACGATACAAAATTTTATTCTCTTGAGACTAATTTCTTGCGTTTTTTAAATAATTTTAATTGTAAATATTAAATCTATATTTTGCTGAAAAAATTTTTTATTATAAACCTAGTATGTTCTTATTTAACATTATCAATAACATTATTAATAAACAATATTAATGCACAATTACAGCAAAATGCGAAGCTGCCGATCCCAGCAGTGCATAAATAGCGGTCCTCCTTATAACGCCCAAAAGTCCGTTATGTAAGAAGTGACACAAGTACCTAATACAAAAATTGTCAAGAATTTTGATAGTGAAGATGAATCGATATATAACTTTAAACCAGTTGGGTGATGGAACCTTTGGTTCTGTCGTGCTCGGAGAACGTATTGATACAGGTGAAAAGGTGGCTATAAAGAGAATGAAGAGAAAATATTATTCTTGGGAAGAAGCTATGAATTTGCGAGAAGTAAAGGTATGTTCAAATTAGATAAATAATTAGGCAATGTTACTACGTAGTTTACGAAACAATTCTCTGAAAATCGTAAAAAGACATGAGTAGTACGTATGATTAACAATAATATTGTGCTAAAATATAATTGAAATATGCATAATGAGAGTATATATAAAAATGACTTTATCATTTTTTACTTTCGTCAATCGGCATCTGCCGGTTAAACATCAACAATTTTATTGATAAAACATTTTGATTATTTTCTCACCTATTTCGCATTGTAGTCATTGAAAAAACTTAGTCATGCAAACGTTGTGAAACTTAAGGAAGTTATACGGGAGAATGATGTGCTGTATTTCGTATTTGAGTACATGAAGGAAAATCTCTATCAATTAATGAAAGACAGGTACATCTCTATAGCAGCTTATACTTTATAGATATAAATATTATTTTATAGAAATTGTATATTCTATTCAATATGTTTTAAATTACAGGGACAAACTTTTTCCCGAGCCAGTAATAAGAAATATGGTGTATCAAGTACTGCAAGGTCTTGCTTTTATGCATAAACATGGTTTCTTTCACCGCGACATGAAGCCAGAAAATTTGTTATGTATGGGTCCCGAATTAGTAAAGATTGCTGATTTCGGGCTAGCGAGAGAGATTCGATCGAGACCTCCATATACAGATTACGTATCAACAAGATGGTAACAATCTAATAGCAATTTATAAGCATTAGCTGATCAATTAAAGAATTTAATGCAATAATAATCTAATATTCTTGATGCAAACCTAATGTTTCATTAATCTCATTAAATTCGTTGATAAACATCTGTTCACAGGTATCGGGCACCGGAAGTATTACTACACTCCACGACTTACAACAGTCCAATTGACATTTGGGCGGTCGGCTGTATAATGGCCGAGTTATATACATTTCGGCCACTGTTCCCTGGCAAAAGTGAGATTGATGAAATATTTAAAATATGTTCTGTAATCGGAACTCCCGATAAAGATGATTGGCCAGAGGGATATCAATTGGCTACAGCTATGAATTTCAAATTCCCGAATTTTACGCGTACGTCGTTGACTGTATTAATACCCAATGCCGGTCAAGAGGCAGTCATACTCATGGAAGATATGTTACAATGGAATCCTGTAAAGAGACCAACAGCGCAGCAATCACTCAGGTATATTTATTTTATATATTTATAATTATGCCAGTAGTAAAACAAAAAAAATTAGAAAACTAAAATGTGACAATAGCTGTAAACGATATAACTGTTTTAAAGAACAAACAAAAATTAATGTATTAAATATCTCTTTTAGATGGAAGAATAGATTAATTTATTTTTAATACATATCTGTCAGATATTTTTTTTTAATATTTCGCAAAAATTTCTAAAACAATTCTGTAAAATTTGAAACTGTCTAAATAATGACTGTTATCATGAATGATTCTAGGTATCCGTATTTTCAAGTCGGCGATCCACGTATTATTAACAGTAAAAAAATTGGTGTCGTATCTCAACGAGAACTTGTTATGAACAAAATAAATCTTCCACCTCCTGCGCCTAAGCAATACAATTATTCTCAAGAAGATCTCGTCGTTAATAACAGCTTAATTCAATCGAGGTAAGATACATTTTACTGTAACATTTAGTATTTAAATTAACACATGAAAATTTATATACTTTTACCATTGCAACGAGTAATAATAATTAGATTGCGACATTGTATAAAGTTTATACAAGCTATACTTTGAAACTACAAAAATGATTGCGATAAATATAATGTCGTAAATTCTGTAATTTTTGGCTTACTAAATATATGAATTAAAGCCAAATATTTATAGAGCACCAGAAAAGATGCTCGTTGAATCACAACAGCAGCCAGCGGCGTTACCGTTACTAAATCACAATAGTCGCAAACGTGACAGCAACGCCTCTAAATGGGACGAGGACGATTTTGCCGATCTTTTAGGGTAAATCGTTGCACGATTTTTCTATATAATTTCCGTTATATATATATATATACTTTAATCGCCCGTTTATTCATATCAGAAGCAAAATTGTCCCAGAGAATCCAAGCGCGACGCTCATCCCAGATCGTGTATATAAGGAAAATCGTGCCAATTGGAATGCCAACTATCAGCAATCAGACAATTTACATGCGAATTGGTCCTTACCAACATGGAAGGACTCACCATCGAGAATGTGGAATCAGTCAAACCAGTCCAATCAGACGAAGAACTTGCGCAAGGTCTCGGCAAAACAACACTATCTCAGTGTGGCTCGGTACGTCGCAGGCCAGAGCACAAATTTGCCATCCAGGTATATAAAATTCCGAAATCCAATCCAAAGAATTCTTATCGCATGCGCGATGTTAATAATCGGCTACTTGTTGACACGATTGCAAATTAGACTAAATATATTTTCCGAGCACTTAATTTTCCGGCTTCCGAGTAGACTCAAATTTATGCCACTTAAAAAGAGTCATTCTCAAATGAGACAATATTATGATATGATTGTTTACAAGTCGATTTATATTTTGCAAGATTTAGCTGCTACTGCGTTGTCAAAAATCTTATTTTTGTTAAATGTCTTCTTAAACATCTCTGAGCTTGTTGAATCAACTTCTTGGATCACACTTTATGCTACTCATCTTTTATATCTATGTCGAGCGTTATTGACTCACTTTGCCAAATATCTCATCGAAGGTTTTATAATAACAGCAAACTTGCTAAACCAAATTATACGATCACTCGTGCTATATATGATATATATATGGCGATACATTTTGGCAATTATTGTACTGATTATCGAAATTTTGGCGGCATGCTCATTGCATTCATTGGATGGCGGTAAATGTATACTGAATGGAACAATTTTTCGAAACTGAAATGCATGAATAATGACAAATGTATACTTCACAAATGTACTGGATCTTTGTGTCAAAGTTCCTATTGTAAATTCTAAATATTCAATAAATTATCAATGTCTTTATCATGTTGTGTAGCGCAGCTTCTTTATCGTTTAAAATAATGCTTTTTTTCTATTCATTTTCAAGAAATGAGGATTCTGATATCAACCGATCTAAACTGCTATTGAATGGATTCATCGGTCAGGCAACATCCAACAAATACGAGGATTTTACAGACTCTTTTTGGGGACCTAGAAATAATATTGAGAATCAAACAAGGCAACACTATCTCGCGCGAAACCGTTATATTACCGATCAAAACTTGAGACTACCTTATCCCAGCGTATACGGTACCCAAAATATCAGTGAGTACTTTACATAAGTACTTGTATGCGTTGCTATTGCATTCTCGTTTAAAAAATTGTATAATTTCTTTTTGTTAATCGAATATTGCAATGCAAAGTTCTCCCGCTATCCCTTTCTTTCCTTCGATCTCTTCTATTCCAGAAGAATAACATTTGTTAAATATACATTTTTTAAACAAGAATGCAAATGCTATATTTGCGCATTGCGAATAGAGAAAATTAATAGGTTGCGATATAGTTTTCGTATCAGTTAATATGATATCTCTTTTCGATAGAAAATACCAATAAACCTATGTTTCAACCAAACTTATTTGGAAATGTTTTCAACACGAAAGCCAGCAGTGGGTCTCACGGCCGAACAGATTGGGCAGCGAAATACCTCAAATGACCGTTGTAGAAAGGTTCGTTCTTCTTTTCAAAATCAATAATTTGTCATCGTGGCCTTCTACTCTAGATGAATTTCAACTGTGATAGAACGATCGCTGTCGTTCCATTGTGACAGAAATACAAATAGGAAGAACGCATTTTTTTCCATGATGAGATTTTACGAAAGTAAAATCGCACTTTAATTGGATGGAGTATAACATATCGAATAGTAGAACGAAATCGTTACGGTGTTATTAAACTACAGCATTATGATCAAAGTTCTAGGGACGGTTATATAGATGCTACGAATCATCCATGTTAATTGATCATGTATGATAAAAGTTTAATTTTCTGAGAAACAAATGATTTCGAACGCGATGATGTATATAGATCTATAGGGATACATTATATTATACACACACACACACACACACACAAGATATTCCATTTATCATGTGATCATCTATACATGTATTGTATATATATATATGTATGTATACACATATTATTTGTATATATTAATTAATTATATGCGGCGTGACATTTGATCATAGTAACACGTTTCTCAAGAATTATGTTCTGAATTATAAAACAACATTCGTAAAGTCTCAATCAATATCATCGGATTAGAATCAATGTATTGATTGATCAATGTCGAGGTATCACGCCGTATCATATCTGATAAAATGTACGCAAATATGGCATTATTAAAATGAAAAATATAATATATAACAAATAATTTACACATTCCCTATTGCACATATTGCATTATGCAACATACTTTATTCTGCTACTTGTTATATTATAGCTTATTTTTCAAAGATATCAATGATTTTTATATTAATCAATTGTATGTGTTTTTATATTTGTATGTATTATCAGTAATTTTTGTATTCGACAAAGAATGAAACGACATCTTATCAACGCAAAAACTTTTCCTTTAGATAACAAAAGACTTTAAGAGGTAAGTGTGAATATATTTTAAATCAATTGAAAATAAAAAGAAGTACATATCATGGATGTAATAGATGAAAGGGGCTCGATATGTAGTATCTAGTAAAAAGATGAAACGTGTAATTTTTTTCTTGACATTACTATGACTATTGACAAATTTCGCAAACAGATAGCATAAACTTTCTTAGAATTACGAAAAATAAAATAAAATAACCTTTATTATGTAAAATAGGTATTAATTATTCGTATATCTCCGAAAAAACTTTTTATACGTAAATATATCAAACCGGTTATTTTGTTTTAATTTCTGCAAAATTGATCTTTCAATGTATTATTTGATTTTAAATATCTGCATTTTCTTTTTATTAGAGAAATCGATAAAAATAGGATTAAACATATAAAAGAGAAAAGGATATGTATCTATTCTCTCTTTATTAAGTTTTTTTTTACCTTATATGGCATAAAAATAAAATGTTTAAATGCGCTAGCCTGAAACTATTAGTTTTAAAATATTATAGTTGAGAGGCATTTTTCGCCTATAAAACAAATAAAAAAAAAAGATACATCAAGCCTAATTACTTTGATATATTCTGTATATAATTATAATTATACATACGAATTTTCCAAAAAGTCGATATGTCAACTATGAATAGTATGAATAACGCGCGTATACATTGAATCATTACTATACGATTTGTTTTGCATAAACAGAATAATTAATTAATCTCTTAAAGACAAGTTATTGTAAATATTATTTCTCATAAACGTTTCTTTGGGCATAAGTTAGAAATAAAGAAAAAAGTCTAGAAATATTTAATCAGTCGCATGGTCGAGTATATTATGTTTTTTTCATCATGTCACCACGTCTTAACTTTACAAACTTTAATTACAATCTCCTACGTAACACCAGATATGTCTTGAGCAGATAACGCGAATAACGAAGCTGGAAGGATAAAAGAAGAGACTTGTATGAGAAAGTCTTCTTTCTCTTTCATTAAGTGGTCTGGATGTATCATAAATATCTTAAATCACATTCACATTCACTAGATGAGTGCTATGTAACAATTAACGTATCGTGTTTAGATATTCATATGCATCACGAACAATAATCTGTGTGTAAACAATCAGCATTTTTTATAAGTAAATATATATAGGTATTTTCTACAGTTAAAGGAAAATATTTATGAATTAATTTCACATTTTTATTTCGTTTTTCGAAATTTCAAAATTTACGTATTAAACATAGTCTAGCTGTCACTTATTGCTTCATATTGTCCATTTCTTTATCATGGATAGTTGTAATAATATGACTTGACTTTTTTTCTGAAAACGCATCTAGAGAATGTATCCAGCGACTGTAAAATAATTATGATGTCTAATGTACCATACAAATATACATATTTTATATTTTACGTATCAACTATTCACACATGAAAATATATATAACAACTCGACAGAATATATACTCGTGCGATAACTTTATCAGCAAAAATTTCCTAATTTTCAATCATCAGTAGTATATTATACATTGAAACAATAATAAAAACAATATATAGAATAAATACAATCATTTCTTATAAAAAAATAATAATTTCGCTTCTTTTAAGTCTTTTAAAAGTATTCAGAAAAACGATTTGTCAATGTGAAATAAAAGCATATGATACCCTTAACAGAAAGGAAATATTCGTAATTCCACGTATCTCTCGCCAATTGTTCATTATGCGCAATGTTTTATAATTATTTCGATTCCTTTGTGCGTGTGTTTAATCTGGCGATATTCAAATAAAATTATAAATATATAGCTTTATATATATATATATATATATATACATATATATATATACTGAAAAATGAAAACAGTATTAATATCTCAATGAGAATCTCTATCAAATAAAATTCAATTTTTATTTGATACCAATATTTGTTGATATGCAATTTACAAGAATTATAACGAGAGCACTTTGAATTTGTGTACCGAATATAGTTTGCGTATCAACGAGTTACAATACTCTTTTACTAGTAACTTGTTGCCGATTTTCTTAACAACTTGTTCCTATTCTTTTCTTTAATTAATTTTCTTTAGTTAATTTGCTATATTTATATTTTTGGTACATATTTTGTTTTAAAACGCATTTTTTACTCAATTTACACACGTGCGCATACACACACACACACACACATACACATTCATAAATTTATTTTTAACATTTTATATTTATATCTTATTTATATTTATTTATTTCTTCAAAATTCATATCTTTTCTATAGAACTTTTTAACCGCATAAAACAAGAAATATATATATTTAGAAATATATATATATATATATATATTACATATATGCAACCAAACTACAAGCCATTTCTTTATCTTCTATTTTTTTTTAAATAATACTTGTATATATTATATGTATGCGCAGAATAATTGAACAAAACAATTCTAAGGCCGTATTATTTCGATATACACTATATAGTATTGAAGTAGTAGTAGTAGTATTGAAAATCTATAAAAAAATAAATAAACGTAATATAAATCATAGATATATTTTCAAATGTATATCGGAACACGGTCTAACATGACACATAACGTGAACAGTAACATGAATCTTATTATTATTGGTAATAACAGAAAAAAAATCAAATTTTACGATTATTATAATAGGTATATACCGACTTAAAAAGTATGACCAACCTAAATATTCAGCCTTTTAGCAACTTTTCAACTTTTATATCATCTTCTTCGACACGCACACAACTTGCTCAATCATAAACACGCACACACATATATTCTCTCTTTCTATCATATATATATTATGTGAAAGCACCAGATTTAACACAGCGCACAAATATATGCGTCCTAATGTTGCAAGATTGCGTTGTTCACCGAGGTAGCATTAGCTAAGATCTTTGGTAAGGCCGTCGTTGATACATCCAACAATCCTCCATCGCTTAGCAAGCTTACAGTGCTGTTCGACAATAATGTTGACATCAGAATCGTGGTTAACATATTGTCGGTAGTCTTCGGCTTCGGTACCGCTGTTGTTCTTTCAACGACAGGTAAAGTGGAAGATATTGCGGTCGTTAGAATGCTTGCCGTTACGTTAGCGAATGCAGTTGTCGAAGTTTGAAGACCAACTTGAGCCTTTGCCGTCTTTAAACATACATCTTTGATTTGCACAGGTGGGCCAAGACAGGCATCCATCATATATGCCAATACAGATCCAATAGTTAAACCAGTAGTATATGACAAAGTCATAATATTACCTAAGATAATATATATACAAAAATATGTTAGAAAATATTGAAAATATAAGTATAATATTTATAATATAAATTAAAAGTAAAAGTGAAAGTGAAAGAATTTTTATAAACTAAATTTTTAATTTTTGTTATGTTCTAATAATATACATCGACATTTCTCTCTTTCCTCTTTGCATATGTTCTTGTCAGTACTTTAAGAAAAACTTGAGTTTATGATACATACCTGCAAGTTCTCGATGTTCTTCCGGTACTTTACTAGGTGCTTGAATCATAGGTATGGAACCAACTATACCATTTGTAAGGCCAAGTAGCCAAGAGAATAGGAGCGGATATCCCTCCCCAGAGAGAATAGGTGCTCCACGTGGAATTGCGCAAAGCAGAAATAGAGGAATAAGTATGGCCCGTGCGCTAGAGAAATAAAGCAACTGAGTTCGTTTCCACTCATAAGGTATTAGAGCGAATACCTAGAAATAAAATTATCTTTATTATAATCCAGTGTATAAGACATATTTTTGCCGTTTTTTATTCGTTCTATTTTCATTTTTAAAAGACAATAACTAAGTTACTGTTCCAATTCCTATCTTAAAATTGCCATGTTACCGGCGTTGAAGCCTCTTTTCCCCAATGTTTAAAAATTCATATCTTCCAGAAAAATAAAGATAAAGACTTCTTTCTGGGCTCATCTTAAAGATGAATTATGTGGCTATTTTTTAAGAAATTGTGATTTTATTTAAAAATGGCCGATTCAATATGGCCGATTAAAACGTCATTTTATTGAAAATTATTAACATTTGTTTAATTAAAAGGTAAATTGGTATAAATGTTATTGGAAGATGTATGGGATTCAATACGCAGCGCGCGCAAAGCGCGCGCCTGTTATGTATTAGTATATTAAATTTCTTACAATGTTATCTTTTAAATTTGAATAACAAACTGCATATATACATAGATATAAATGCAAACAAGAAACACAGCAATAAGATTAAGACAAATTATTTCTATAAATTAGTGATACCTTGCCAAGTAAATCAGAGGCGTTAAAAGCGGTCATCAAAATAACTGGCATCCATGATTCGAATTTGCAAGATATTATTTCCGATACGATTCCTGGATAGAGGCAGAGCGTAACAAAATAAGCAGTACCAATGCTGGCCATATAGGGAAAGATCAATTTGGCAACTTCGAGTCTTGCGAGTAAGCCTCCTAAAAAATATTTTAAATCATGAGGCGCGTTGATATTTTATATTTCAAAATTCGATTAAATCTTTTCAATCGTTCTGTGAAAAGGAGGTGTGGGTGTGGGCGTGGGTGGTGTGACGTGGTGTGGTAGTGTGTGTGTGTGTGTGGTGTGTGTGTGTGTGTGTGTGTGTGTGTGTGTAAAATTGCGTGTAAAATTTAAAATAGCGTTATATATAAACGATCTAGAAAATTTACATATAAAAGAATTAATCTTAATTTTCTCATTTGAATTTTTTTTTAACAATGAACGAAAATGAGTTCTTACTTTTTATACCGGACCATGGCGTACTTGTGCTTTGCGTTCCATAGGCTCCTCTCATAACCACGACATCTTCGACTTTGTAAGTTGGTCCAGCGCTACCGGGTGGATTGCCCGAAGGAGCACTAGGTTCGTATACCGGATTGCTAAACGAGAATGCTGAATACTGTCCGGCTGCTGTGTGAAAATACAATCAAAGTGTTTGTATATTATCTCGACATTCTTTTTTTAGCAAATTGAAGTAATAATTAACCCTTTAAAGAAATTCGATATTTTTTCTACACTTAGGAATTAATTTCTGATTACCATTCAAATCGGCACTCCCACTTGCAGATTCGGTTCCCAATGGACTCGTTTGAATCTTCAATACTCCATACTGGCCTTTTGAGGGATCGCCGACTTGATCTAACGGATCCATCTATTTAATAATAACAAAAATATGAATTAAATGCATTCGTTGCATTCATTGAAAATGTCCGTTTTGCAGCAATAATCAATATTAAATAATTTCGAGAATAAAAATAATCAAAATAATTTCAGTTGTATTCCTCTCTTAAAAAAAAAATATTTGCTGATATTAAAATTAATTTTCCTCAATGGAATAAATAGGTAAAGAATGCAACGTGCTTATACATACCAAACCGACATCCTCCGTTGGTTCTAACGTGATTCGATTTCTTTCCTGACACAGCGTTATGTAAAATTGCACAAAATCGGTTTTTCGTACTATTTGATGTAGCACAAAACATAACAAGATTGTCATATTCGATAAAATGAAGAACATAGATGTATTGCCACGTTCATCATTGAGTAGAGACTTTGTTATTATTCGATTGATTGACACCCAAAAACCAGCGACACCTGGAAGAGTGTAAAAAAATATTTCTTTTTTCGTGCATTACATATACACCTTCCACAATATAATTAGAAAAGACATACGGACACTCGTTAAATATAATGTCGAATATAATGTATCGGCAAGGAAATTAATATAATTTTATTCAATTTTTCAAAAATTACGACATCTCTAAATAATTAAATCACAAATTAAAATTCTGCTAAAATAATTTTCTAACAAAAGACGAATTCCTGCAACCATTCGTAGAACGGTACTCACTTTCTCCAGTCATCACAGCTTGCGTATATCGACTAGGAAGCATTGATGTATATCCGTAAAAACTCGATTGCTGAACTGTAATGTCATACATAAGATGATAAGATCAAATTTTTGCAGCATATTAACAGTATATTTGTAATTGTAATTATTAAATACATGTTTTTAGAAAAATATTACAAGTTTCAAATTAATCAATAAATTTATTCTGTAAATTTTTAATATACAATATATATACATATAATCGGAAGATCATAATAGTACTAGTAATATGTATTATCAATTCTATAACAGTAATATTATACTTATTATCAATACTAGTAATATTATCAAAAGCATAAAAAATGTATTTAAAAAAATCGTGTTACTTATTGTTAATTAACCGAAGATAAATAAATAAATGAATGAACGCTTGCAACACTTTTCCATTATTTCCATAATACTGAATTAAATTGTAGATAATCTTTTAACTTTACCTGTACAACCGAGCGATACTATAGCGACAGCAACTAAATTGATAGTATAGGAAGTTGCAACGCCGAAAAGTTCCCACCAAATTTCGCAAATCACCACAAAGTTGAGAGTAACAAAAGATACCAGATACCCTAAGCATTAAAGATTAAATTATGTATATAATTTAGATATACTTTGTTATATTGTTAAATTAAATTATGTAATTCAAGAGTAACTCAGAGTCGCTAGTAATTTTTAATACAATTCATCTTTGCTATTGAATTGTTTAAAATTGCACTCTGCAAATACGACAGTCATGCAATAATTTTTATGCAAGAAAGCTTTTACAAACAATACAATTCAATATGAAAGAATTCAAAATTGATGATCGTAAATTATAAATCATTGGATATATATGCAATATATATTGCAGTCCGCATCCAATTAACTTAAATTGTTTATCTCTGCCAGATGTCTTACCAAATGTAATTCGCGTATTCAGCGACAAGGTCTCAACCAGAATGTTGTTTGCAAAGACTGCGAAAAAAGCCATAACGATGTAAACGACGGACATGTCAAATATCACGGTAGTTCCCGGATACCTAGCTTGAAAATAATCCACCGCTATAATGAAGCTGTAACAGACAATGGCACAATTTGTCGGTATATAAATTGCAAGATTTTTAATCAAAATTAAATGCTGCAACGTGTCAGTGCAAGTTTTTGCCAATTTCTACAAAATTTATTTATTTTTATGTTGCTTGCGATGTTGCCCGATCAAAATTTATTTTTCACTGTCAAAGATTATAAGAAATATTATAAGATTAATCGAAATATCGACTATCGGAGAGGAATAATTCTTTAAAAATTTCGTTCGACTGTAAATATATGCAGTATTTGCATGTATGACTCCTGATACACGCGGAGGTCTAATATTGTAAAAGATATAGATACAAGCGGGCATTGTTATAATTATATGGGCAATTGTCTGTTGCAAGACCTGTTGTAAGGCAGAAGAAAACCTATGCCGCCGAGGATCAGAGCCATGTAAATGAAGTTGCATTTGTCAACGGGTGGTGAGACATGCGTGAATCCATTGGAGAATTTGAACTCGTTCATGCCCCTGGCCTTGCCCAGCTGGACGTATCCCCGGCTGAGGTTTTCGTCCATATTGCCGCTGCCGGAGAAGAGGATTCGGTGAAAGGAAATTTGTTTGAAGAGATCAGCGACTTGGTACGCTTGGACAAGTTCTCCTAATCCATGGTACACGCGAACGGTCGGATATGCTCGCTCTGCCTCGTTTCCGCTGCCGGCGGAATGGGGCTTTGATCGCGCACCTGATCACTACGATATTTATTTCCTCGCACTGCAGCGTACACCGAGTTCTTTTCTTACCCTTGAGCGCATGCTTTGACATTTACGGCATTGATTTCTGCGCGCGCCGGGTTTCCCGCGTTGCTCGACGATCCGCTCCGCGGCCTGATCCGCGATGCCCATTTTACTTGGAGTTGCCCGCGCGCGGTCAGATACCTGTAATATGACCAGGCCTGCTGATTGATGCTCGATGCTGTTCGATATACATTTAATTCATCGCGATCAATTCATTTCACGCATCAATGTTAAGAAATCGCTGAGAAACGATATGCAACGCGCAAAACTTAATTTGTTGGCTATTATATATAATATATATAATATATATATATGTATATCTCTTCTTCCTCGATGCAAAGACAGTTTCCCGCTTTTGAAAAAATTTAGTAAAATTGATGTGATCATTGAACAAATTAATCGTGCATTATATATATTATATACAAGAGACGTACGTCATTTTTTTTATACTAGAGCAAAACAAAGCGCGCGCGAACGCGCGATATATCATCGCAATATAATTAACTTAATAATAATAGTCTAACATTATAATATTAATTGTATATACAGAATAGTGGAAATAGTAAAAAATTTTAATACTATATAATTACGCATATGGGAAGGATTTTGCTTGATATTCAAATTATAAACTAATTTTAGTCCACGAAAAGAAAAATCACATGAGCCTTTTTTTGTGAATAAAAAAAAAATCGTATACGCACATACGTTACATACGTTTATATATACATATACATATACGTTTATATATATATATATATATATATATATATAGGAACAATTATAAATTTATAGATTTTAAGAATGCATTTCAAAACGACATACGTACTAAATGCACACTTTTGAGAAAAATTTTATTAAAAAGCTATATAACATATATATGTATACGATAGATTTTTAGTAAAATTTTCCTCGAAAGCAACATTTTGGAATGTAACTACCTAAACTTTGTCGAAAATAAAACTTGTATAGATAACAGATATCAATTAATATATGTATATCGGTGTAAAAGATATATATATATATAATATGTCGTCGGTCTATATATTATTTTTGCAGTTGCATGCTTGCTGCATATAGTTTAAACTATATATAATCATGATAATAACAATAATAATAATAATAATAATAATAATGATATATGATTACATATAATAACGTTTTGTTTAATTATTTTCTTTAGCGATAAAATAAAGCCAAATAATGCGTGTACGTAATTTGATATTTAGCTCGAAAACAAATAAAATATTTATTATTAATCATTATAGAACTACACATTCCGAAACGTTATGCTATCGCGGGAAAATTTTACTAAAAAGTAAAAAGCTATAATTTACGTTACGTACACTATAGGTTTTTAGGTTATACGTACATACAGTGTGTACAGCATGGAGCTGGATGCAGCATGTGAATCAGTACGTGAACTCTGTTGACGACAGTCAATCGACAGTATCGACTGTGTTGAGTTATCGACAAGTGATAAGATGCAACCGAGCTTCTGCAACAGAAATTGAATTAAGATGGCGTTCGTTGTGATCGTCGATGATAGAAAGAGGAACGACCACCCACCAATCAGAAATTGGCCACGGCATCGCGAGAGACGGCGAACACCGTGGACGGTGGACTAACAATAAGTGGACTTTATTAGCCCGCCAATCAGAAACTGTGAAAAAGCAATATGGCCATCGATAAGTCACCGTACGTACGTGCGTGACATTATCTCGTTTTATTCGCGTATGATATGATTTGGAAGTGATATCATCGTGTGTAAGTGTGTGTAATAACGTCAGTCTGAATATATTCCTGATTATTTTCCTGCAAAAGATTTTCCGGCAATTTCGAAAGAAGAGTGAAGAAGAGTCTTGAGCGGTCTTGAATCTCGACGTACCATCGACGTACATCGACGTTTGGCAACGTTCATCGATAGTTTTGTCATCGTAAGCCATCGGGAGCGCATTTAACGCTTTCGAAGATATGTCATTGAACACGGCACATACCAACGGCGGAGTTCTTCTCCACTCTGGCGAATGGTAAGTGATAAAAACTTACAAATAATTCGGAATTGTACGAAATTTGCGTTAATCATAAAATTATCTGTCTTTCAAGCAGTCTCGAGGTATGATATTCCTGCCGCGCAATATCGCCATAACTTCTCGCCGACAATTAGCTATTGCCGACGACCTTGTTATTTTATCATTTAATACGAATCAGACGAATTATCTTTTCCATTCATACGAAATCACGCTTGTAGTACCTGCATCAAAATTAAACTACATATTTCCACGATATAATACAAACTAACTTTTGACATTTAATTACCTCTAGCATCATACTCTTCTGCGACAATGTCAATATGGAATTTCATGGACAAGAGCAAGCGGAATTTATTGGAAAGAAGCATGGCAGGTTGTACTTGACGACACACAGAATGATTTTCAATGCTAAAGATCAAAAAGAAAAGATGCAATCATTCAGTTTCCCATTCGTGACATTGAGTGAAGTAGGACTGGAACAGCCGGTTTTTGGTGCTAATTACATAGGAGGCAAATGTCGCGCACAGCCGAATGGTAATTGGATTGGAGAATGCAAATTTAAATTGAGATTCAAGAGTGGTGGGGCAGTGGAATTTGCTCAGGCTTTGCTGAGAGCCGCAGCGATGGGTAAGATAAATATAATTGATGCAATCGCATGTGCTGTTATTTATATCATATTATTCACAATTAGAAATTTTTATGACATTAAGTTAGAGATACCTATATCTTGATTCTAAATATTGATATGTATATAAAACATTTTTGTGTTTTCTACATATCAGATAACACAAGGTTAATGACATTATCAAATACACTGTAAAAATAAATTTATTAAATCCAATTTGGCTCATGCATGTCTTAATTTATGTTCCACGTGACTTTTAGCTCAACGCAATGGCCCAGCGAATGACGCACCACCACCATATACCCCTCCATTATCCGATTGGTACCCAGCGCAACCTTCGGCTTATCAACCTGCTCCAACTGGATATTACGGATGGATGCCTCCGACCAACGTATTCCCAGATGTTCCGCCAGGTTTAATATTGGCTTCTTAATTTCCAATATCTCATCAAACTTATTGATTTATCTGCATAAGAAATATTCTACATAGTCTCAAGTGTTTCTATAAAGCAAATTTCTTTAGTTATTCTTTATCTAGCAAGATTTAGCTCGCTATTTAAAATAAAATGTGTACATATATTTAATTTGTTATGTTACTATTTAATTTAACTGAACTTTTATTTACACACGCGCGCGCGCATATATATATATATATATA